AATTTTTTGTAAATCATAACCCACAAACTAATTAGTACACGTGAAAAAGCACCTATGTATGCATAATAACACATGTATGCAATAACATAATCATTTAGTTCGCTAATTAGAATTTTTAATTCGAGTTGAGATGTGATATTGTGTGAGAGTTTTTTACTGTAACAAAAAAGTTAAATGTGACTGTTTCTGAGAACTTTTTACTGTAGCAAAACTCGAATTCTAAATTCGAATGAGCGAAAAGAACGGGACCATTAGTTGAAAAGGAACACCCTTTTTTTTTTCCCTTACTTGAGAAATAAAAATCGGCAAAAAGTAAAAACTCGTATGCTTCTTATGATTAAAATTGGAGAAAATTTCTTATAGTCAACAACAATTTCAAGAGTGAGCTAACATTTTCTTAAAAAAAGAGGGGGCATTCTTTAGTGAGGGCAGTTTCTGATCGTTAAATCTTGTTAAAATCAGATCAGATTGAAAAAATATGTAGAACAATAATTCATGATATAAATCTGACGGTTGAACGTAGAGAACTATTAGTAGTTTATTTTTTCTGATCCTATTGAGAAACTCCCTTAAAAAATGTATGCAGTTTTTCTAAAATTTTATGTTATAACCTACCTACTCACACACACACATACACACATTGTTATACATTCTGGGAGCAGTTTATCTTATAATTTTAGGGCCTGTTTAGTTCGCTAATTCGAGTTGAGATGTGACTTTATGTGAGAGCTTTTTACTTTAGCAAAAAAGTTATGTGACTGTTTATGAGAGCTTTTTATTATAACAAAACTCGAATTTTAAACTCAAATCGGTGAAATAAATGAGGACTTAGTTACACCTATATTCTATCTTAGTTTTTCTCTCACTGGACCAAAAAATCTACTTCTGCCGTATTCAGGTTGCTCCCCCCACACTTTATTTTTTATTTCCAATAAAACTCCCATTTTCCTTGTTCTTATGACCACTATAAATTATGATAACATTAAAATGACACTCGGAAGCTAATAGGAAAGATATAGAAAGATAATTGCATGAAGTTATGTGCCTGAGCTTAGCCACAATTGAAGGGACAGGGCAGTGTTGGGCCAGTGACCCTTGATGAAGCAGGCCCTTTGAGGCTACACTTGTTTCGCTCATTGAACAAATTTGAGGTGTCATGCCCAAAAGAGAATTAAATTGTTTGATCAAAACAAAACATAAATAAAAATCAATTAATTGAAAAACAAAAATAATTACTTTTCTTTTCTTTTTTTTTTTGAAAGAAAACATAATGTATACATACATACAAATTAAATTAATGGGGGGTACAATTCTAAAAGAAAAGATTCGAGGGCACACAAACAAAGAAGAGAATGAAAAGGAATATATTCCTTTGTTTTTTTTTTTTTTTCCCCTAGATTTTATAGTTAAGAACATGTGGAATTTTCAGTTAGATTCTAAATTATATTTGTAGTATGAGAAAGTACTCTTTCCAAGTATGAGATAATAATTAACAGTTTTAATTTTGACACATAAATATGATGAAGCAAGTGGAAACTAATATCTGCAGTCTGCTTCAAGAGTTGTGAGTTTTCCTTTCAGTGGAGTTAAAGGAAGAGAGGAAAATATGAAATTCAAATAAGAGAAAAACCCATGTTTCAATACGTATCAATTAATCTCGAAATTGTATTATTGTGTTGTATGTAATAATTTGTTTCTTATTTATTCTTTATATATTCGTTTCAATAAAGTACATATTATACAATATTGTCATCATTTATGCTATGTCTGGTGGAGGGAAAAAAAGTAAGATGGAATGAAAAGATATAAGAGACAGAAAATGAGAATGATGGAAAAGAAAATAGTTTTTCTTTTGGTTGTTTGGTAATAGAAGAGGTAAAAAAATGAGTTACTGTACAATTACTATTTTATCATTCTCTTTATAATATTTATCTTGAAAATAAGGTTAACTAAGTAATTATCTCTTATTTTATGTGTAATAGGAGGCCTTACTAAAAAAAAAAAGTTAGACTCAAGGTTCAGGGACCAAATAAAATAATAACTTTTTAAAAAAAAAAAATCCTCAAACTCTTAAAAAAAATGCAAAACATTCATTAAAAAAAAAAAAATGCAAAACGGACGTTAAACGTTAGACGGTTTTCATCACGTGGTCTTCATATGAAAGCTAACTGAAATATTTATTTGAAAATTAAAATTCTTTAATAAATATCTTATGTTAAATTTTAATATTATATTTTTATTATAATGTTTTGAAAAAAAAAATTACTTTCAATTCTTTACGTTATTTAATTTTTTTATAAATATATAATTTATCTCTTTGAATAAAATCAATTTATTTTTAAAGATATTTTAATTAATAAAATGAAAATTATGTATTTTTTTAGTATTTTGGTGTATAAATATTACGAATATTAATTATAAAAATAGAAATAAAACTAATTATAAGTATGTGGTGTTAAAGTATGTCTATTTTAGTTATTATAAATCATCACAATAATTTTGTACATAGTTTACCAAACACTTAAGGGCCTGTTTACTTCGCTGATTTGAGTTGAGAGTAACTTTATGTGAGAGTTTTTTTTACTGTAGTAAAAAAGTTAGATGTGACTATTACTGAGAGCTTTTTACTATAGCAAAACTCGAATTCTAAACTCAAATCGGTGAAATGAACATGACCTAAATTTCTACTTCTAGTATTCACACCAACTTTGAAAGAAAATTTACTAAACACCTGCATGCTTTTGATCACAACAACTTCTGACTAACAACACAGCAACAACAGAAATTTTTAACAACACAACAATGTCAAATTGGTCCAAAGTTAGTATTATCATAATATTATTAACTGAATGATGTACGAGCTTGTTTGGATTGGCTTAAAAAAAAAAGCTATTTTTGGCTTATTTAGTCCAAAAGCTGTTTTTGAATCCATTTAGATGGCCAACCTTAAAGTGCTTTTGATTTTTTAAAGCACTTTTAAAACAAACTATCTAGTGCTTATGAAAAGCTTTTTTATTTACATTTTTAACCTTTTATTTGTGAATAACAAATTAAATATCTCATTCATATATTTTTATTACATTATTTTTTATAACAAGAAGTGCTTTTAATTTTTTTATCTAAACAACTTTAAAAACTCTTTATAAATATAAAAATATTTTTTCAAACACTATTAAAACACTAATTAAAAAGTCACCACTTATGTTTATATCCTTCTATTACTTAAAAGCACGAAAATAAATAAATACAATTATACATCATTTAACGTGGTCTTTTTCTCTCCCTTCTCGTTGGAACTTGTATACACAAAAGAAAGAACTTGATTACCGAATCAAGAACTTGAATACACAAAAGATAATTACGGAAACCAAGAAACAAAACAAATAAACAAATAATTAAAAAAGAGGACACATTATCCCTACCAGCAGATTCAGGGCCAATATAAAAATAACCTCTTCCGCATTGCTTGGCATCATATCTTGTTTTATTTTTAATGGAAGTTTCTATGTTTAATTTTATTCCTGTAGAATTTTTTTTTTTTAGGAAATAATCCTGCAGAATATTATTCCATAAAAAAATATTGAAACTTGTATAATAAAGATCTATAATTCTTTTCAGCGACCAAACTATCAAGAAAAAGCGTGGCTCCTCCTTACTTGTTTTAATCATTATTTTATTTAGGACGCATTTTAATCTAATTTTAAGACATTATTAAAAAAAAACTGAAAGGGTACTTTTTCAAAATAACCGTTATTCTATTCTACCCTAACTCCCACTAACTAAATACATGTCGGTGCTTATTTAGTATATGAGTTCTGTTATAGTACAAATTAATAAATTTGATTATGTTATAATGTTTTTCTCTTTAAAAAATTTGAATTTCAAAAGTCATAATCAAGAATCCTAATTTGAACCATAATTTGAACTATATACCAACAAGCCCTTAATTACCTATTCAATTTGGGTAATCTTGATAAATATCTCTTGAAAGTACACGAGTTAAGATTTTTACACTTTATTCTTGATTCATAACATTTTTAGTTAAATAATTACACTAACAAAATGGTATTTATCAAGAGTAAAGGTTAAAAGTCCAGACTCATATACTTGTAAGGATAAATTTTCCATTTTATGCTTTCAATCTTGATGTCCAAAATGGAACCGCATCATGTAATTAGTAACATTAAGTTCAAAATTCAACCAAACACTACTAAGATTAGAATAAACTAAATATATTCTTATTATAATCCGATTTTGTTCTAATCTTTATTTGAATTCTATTTATGTTTATTTGACTCCACTCCCACTCAAACTATAAGGCCCCATTCATTTCACCGATTCGAGTTTAGAATTCAAGTTTTGTTACAGTAAAAAATTATCAGAAATAATCACATCTAACTTTTTTATTATAGTAAAAACTCTCATATAAAATTACATTTTAACTCGAATCAGCGAATTAAACGGACCTAAAATTCTAATATATAAACACACACAATACTGTAGTAACTGACCCCATTGGTGAATGGTAGAATATGTGAATAGTGGCGGTCAAGATCAGGATCAGCAAAAAAATCGGAAAGATGGGACCAAAGGACCATTTGTTTTTGTACCCGCAAAAGCTATCTATGCATGTAATAATATTATACTCCAATAATAGAGCTAGCTAGGGAGTACTTATGGGTTTAGCTGCACATATATATATATATATATGATCATATAAACGTACAATATTCAATTCTCATAGCAGAATCAAATACTAATAGACAAAACAAGGTTAGTGGGATGCTACAGCCTTTTTCTTGGTATTCTCGCTTGATATGATCATATGATCACTTCCCAAGAAATACAACAAAGCAATATCAACCATATCCAATATAATCTAATAATAGTAAAGTGAAAGACTCACTTTCACTCTTCATTTAGAATAGCTAGCAAATATATAATGGAGAAGTACTAGTACCATTTTGTAGGTAATTCTTGTGGTTCCATTAATATGGCTGTTGGAGCTTGGTTTTTGGCGGTGGGTTTTATGGTGGCGATGATCTCAACATGTGGAGAGTGCAAGTACATTGCTTACAATACGACGTCGTCCGTTGTGGCTGACAATATCAACGTTCATTTGGTGGCTCATACTCATGACGATGTTGGATGGTTGAAGACCATTGATCAGTACTATGTTGGCTCTAATAACTCCATTCAGGTCTCTCTCTCTCTCTCTCTCTCTCTCTCTCTACATTTTCTTTTTATGTTAACAAAATATATGTTTTAGGGAGTATTACGATGATATTCATCAGTTGTTTTCAGTACTTCAAATAATAAGAGAGGCTGAGTATAGTAATCTTGAATTCAGGCTTAATTTTTAAATTCTATATAAAAGTTGAGGGAAAGAAGAGTAGCATAGTTTTGCCTCTAAAAATAATTTATTTTGGGGTATAAATTAGTTTGTGATAAGTATTATAATATATATATATATATAATATATTTTGCCTGTTCTGGTTTGTTCTATTTTTTTCTTTTGTGCATTTGAGTACTTTGAGAACAAGAGAGGTAGACTAGTTTTCTAATTATCTAAAGAAGACAACCATTTTCTTCCTTTCACAATCAAGTACTTTAATTGCTTTTTCAAGTTTTAGGTTGAAGAATTTTATTGAAATATTATTATTGTGGAGAATCCACATCTTTCATCTACTTTTCATCTCTTGATCTTTGCCCATTCAATTATTTCTTTTACATTTTATATAAGGAAAATTTTTAAAAATACCTCTTAAAATAAAATCTCTTTTATTTTTATCCCTTAACGATAGCTCATAAATTTTTATTTTTTAGACTATAACTAGCTAAGAGACAGAGTTTTTTTTTTAAAAAATAATACTTTTAATAAATCATGTATTTAAAAAAACTTCCTCTTTGTTCTTTATTTTATAAACTTGGACAAATTTGCAGAAGTCCTAACAATGACGTGTTAAAATATAGAAAAATGTTATGGGTATACTCATAAGCCTTGGCCCCACCCTTGATTGATACCTACTCAAACAGGTTGGTTTGATCATACGCATTCTCCAAAATATAACTCACTAGACAGAGGACATAACAAGAAAAATTTAGATAATTTTGTGTTCTATTACCTTACACGTATCCAAATTCAGGATCTTATTAGGGCCCGTTTAGTTCGCTAATTCGAGTTAAAATGTGACTTTAAATGAGAATTTTTTACTGTAACAAAACTCAAATTTTAAATTTAAATCAGTGAAATAAACGGACCTAACTATTTTAAATACAATTCACCGTTTTTCAAATTCTCATATAATTAAGAATAAATGCTCTACATCATCATCGATGATGCTGTGATCACTATATATGTGACAGGATATTAAAAGTGTTATAATAAGACAAGCATTTTCTTTTTACACACGTCATGAGTTGATGTATAACTTGTGGTAACGTTCGTGTCACTGCTTATAATTAACTGTCACTGCTTATAATTAACAAAACCGAGGTTTATTTATTTCGTTAATTCGAGTTTAGAATTCAAGTTTTATTACAGTAAAAAGCTCTGACAAACAATCACATTTAACTTTTTTGTTACAGTAAAAAGCTCTCACATAAAATCACATCTCAACTCGAATTAAAAAATTAAATTAACGAACTAAACAGGCTCCAAATACTTACATTAATGATGTTTTTGGTGAATTACTTAGATTAGTGATGTTGATTACAATGGCAGGCAGCAAGTGTCCAAAATGTGCTGGATTCAATAGTTCCCGCTCTGTTGGCTGACAAGAATCGCAAGTTCATTTATGTCGAGCAGGCACACCCATTACCCAATTACTCCATTCTTTTTCGATTTCTTTCTTGTGAAAATAAAATTCATTAAAGGAAACTATGTAATTGTAAAATTCTAAAGGAATGCGTTTTTTTTGTGTGCATTGAATGCAGGCATTTTTCCAACGTTGGTGGGATGAACAGAGCGAAGCTGTCCAAAGCACAGTCAAGCGGCTTGTCAGCTCTGGTCAACTAGAGCTCATGTACTAAATATAAGCAATTTCATTTGGCTAAGCTTATTCAACTGGCGTAATTGATTGGAAAAATGTTTTAAGAGGACCATAACTAATAGAAAGGAAAAATGTTGAGGGCCTGTTTAGTTCGCTGATTTGAGTTTTTAATTTGAGTTGAGATGTGGCCTTATGTGAGCTTTTTACTGTAGTAAAAAAGTTAAATGTGATTGCTTCTGGGCCTGTTTAGTTCGCTGATTTGAGTTTTTAATTTGAGTTGAGATGTGACCTTATGTGAGCTTTTTACTGTAGTAAAAAAGTTAAATGTGACTGCTTCTAAGAGCTTTTCACTGTAACAAAATTTGAATTGTAAACTCGAATCGATAAAATGAACGGAACCTAAATAATTCGACGGGGTTGGTGCCCCATCAAATACAAGTTGATGGGCCCATGCGGGTCCTATTGGTGAGGCCACCAATTTGTATCTGCCGGGATACTAGCACAGTCAAACCTACCAACCTTGTCAGGTTCAATAACATTTTTCAATTTCATTCTTACTCATACCCCCTTTTTCTATTCATTAATTCTCATTTGTTTCTATTTGGTTAGTTATCATTGAGTTTTTAACCAATCACATATTTACATATCAACTTTAGGACTTAAACGGGATAGACATTGCTTTGAATATGACAATTTCTTATTAGTGGAATGACAAATAGTGACAAATTTTTTTTTTTTTTTTAAATTTCGGTTGTTGTAATTGTTCTCCTTGTTTTTTTTATGAGTATTGATCTGAATTTGATCATCTTGTGGGGTTGCAGAAATGGAGGAATGTGCATGCACGATGAGGCTGCGACTCACTACGTCGACATGATTGATCAGACAACTCTTGGCCATCGGTTCATCAAAGCAGAATTCAATGTCACTCCAAGAATTGGTTGGCAGATTGATCCATTTGGACATTCTGCTGTTCAGGCTTACCTACTAGGAGCCGAGGTATGGGGTTGCCTTAATATTTTTCGCCGCGAAATTATCACCATTATTCAATCAAATGAATTTGACAATTTGCTTTGTTCATAAGTTGAATCTTTTGTGATAAAACAAAGCATCTTTAGTTGTAATATACCAGATTCCCGTTATAAGATGGACGTTATTGGTTGGCTTAGGTTGGATTTGACTCTTTTTTCTTCGGAAGAATCGACTACCAAGACCGAGCTAAAAGGAAGAACGAGAAAAGCCTTGAGGTTGTATGGCGGGGTTCAAAGACTCTTGGTTCATCTTCACAGGTTAGTGATCAGATATTGCAGAAAGTTTTTGCATTTCTGTTCTTAAAAAGTTTCATTTGATTGCCAGAATTTATGGCTTGGATCTAACATATCATGTTATTTACTCATGCAGATTTTTGCTGGTGCTTTTCCTGAGAATTATGAACCTCCTAGTAATTTCTACTATGAAGTTAATGCTAATGAGGATTCCCCTATTATCCAGGTCAGTTCATAGTCAATTTTATTGATGCAGGCTATTAAGCTTTGTATACAGAAAAACGCTATTTATCACTATCAATGACACAATTACCACACATGCGGCAATACATTATAACTGTCGGATTCGATTCTTTTACTTTTTGCCATGTGACGGTTGTTAGTTTACCAATCCATCCCAAAAGCTTAAGCTGTTAGGACGTGGATCAACAATAGTTTTATACTTTAACACTCCCCTTCACGTGTGTGCTGCACAATAAGCAATCGTGTAGGTAAATTAATTAGAAAGCCTAACACGTGAATATTTAAGTCCGATATATATTAAAAACTTAACACATGATGACAATTTAAATGAAGATAAAGAGTGCAATTACGGGGGTTTGAATTCAGGACCTCTCGTTCTGATACCATATTAGTTTACTAATCTATCCTAAAAACTTAAGCTGTTAGGAGGTGGGTCAACAATAGTTTTATACTTTAACGATGGTTCTCTCATCCTTCTGTTTTGTGGTTTGAAGGATAATACCAACTTGTTTGACTACAATGTGGCGGAGCGTGTTAATGAGTTTGTGGCTGCTGCAATATCCCAAGTAAGATGCATCTTGCAATTTTTGATATTTTATTTCTGGAAATAAAATGCAGCTTCTCAAAGTAATTTATAAACAGAAATTGGAGGGAAAAATATCTCCTTTAATCTAGAATATTTCAGAAGAAAAAATTGGATGTACTGACAATTTTCGAACCAACTTGATGATGGTTTCGTAGTTGATAATGCGTGTTTCAAGTAAGTGATCAAGTTTGTGTTTAGAACTTGAACTTTGTCATGCTCAAGCAGAAAAATTCCACCTTTTATTTTGCAAGAATTCAAATGTGTTGAATCTTACACAAAATATTGTTTTTTCTTTTCTTTTTTCAGGCTAATATTACTCGCACAAATCATGTGATGTGGACAATGGGAACGGATTTCAAGTATCAATATGCACATACATGGTTTAAGCAGATGGACAAGTTCATTCATTATGTCAATCAAGTTAGTTATGGCTGTTACAAATTGATTTCGTATCTTATACTTATATCTGATTTTCATGCTGAAAAATCTATATGGATCCTTGCAGGATGGGCGTGTCAATGCCCTTTACTCAACCCCATCAATATACACTGATGCAAAACATGCAACAAATGAGGCCTGGCCGATCAAGAACGATGACTACTTTCCGTAAGTTCAAGCCATTATTAAGATTCAAGAACGTCCTTCATGAATCCATGGCTCTTCTGTCTATTGACCTATTCATGTGAACTAACCAGATACGCAGACCGTGTGAATGCATACTGGACTGGATATTTTACAAGCAGGCCGGCGCTCAAAGGCTATGTCAGAATAACCAGTAGCTACTATTTGGTAAGCTTTTGATTTGTTCGGTTATCGACAAATATTTTCAATGGCATGACAAGCTCTGCAAGAAAAATGATTCCAATAACTGATTGGTGAGCTATAGCTTTTACTTCTCTTCTTCTGCTTACTAAAAGCATAAGTAAAAGCTCTTCCGAACATGGCTTTAGAATGGCTAGCTAGTAACTAATATTTGGTACGTGTTTGATCCATTCGGTTATTGACAATTTTGAAAGCTTGTGATGCTCACATCCTGCAATCTATTACTGGAAAGCTCTCTCGGAAATATGGTTCCAACATCTGACTGAAAAGGCATAGATTTTACGTACCTTTATATCCAGTAGTATGTGAAACAGGCAGCTAGACAGTTAGAGTTCTTTAGGGGAAGGAGCAAATCAGGGCCAAACACAGACTCGCTTGCCGATGCTTTGGCAATTGCTCAGCATCATGATGCAGTCAGTGGCACGTCAAAGCAGCATGTGGCAAATGATTATGTGAAACGACTTTCGATAGGTTACACCGAGGTAAGACTCGAGCTGTCCTGTCTTCCCAATGGGTTTCCTTGTGTAATTTTAAGTGTTCTGCATTCAATTGTCGGTTTCAGGCTGCGAAGGTTGTTGCAGAATCACTCGCATTCCTGTCGGACTCAGCATCAAAATGGGGTCACAACAGCTCTTATATCAAGTTCCAACAGGCAAATGAAAACTAACCCACCCTTTATACTAAGTTTCTCTGCAGTCATTACATGATATCAGAAAAACTTGCAAACTTTAATTTGTTTGAAATGCCATTGCTCTAATAATTGCATAGCTGATATCTCATTACAATTGTATTCTCTTGGAAAGTTGTTAACTTGTACTAATATTTTATGATTCCTTTTTGCTAGTAAATATTTGTATTTCCTAAAATAGGACTTACTGTCCTTTTTTTCCCCCCTCAGTATGCTGATTCTGTGTATTTCTTTTGCCTCTATTTTGTTTAGTGTCCACTTTTGAATATCAGCTATTGTCCCTCATCAGAAGTTGATCTATCAAAGGGAAACAACCTGGTGAGGATAGTTATGTGTAAAATTCTATAATGTACCAATATTTAGTATGTATCTCTGTTAAGAAGTATGAATTTTATCTTTCATTTGAATTGCTCCCTTTATAGGTCATTGTTGTTTATAACCCCCTGGGATGGAGAAGAAATGATGTTGTAAAGATTCCTGTGAGTAATTTATTCCACTTCTATGTTGAAATCCTTCTCTCTGTACTTTATCTTTTTCAGTTTTCTTTTTAATGAGAGGCAGTCATTCAAAAAAAAAAAAGAAAAGAAAAAAAAGATCATTTTATGATTTTACCCCATGTCCCAATAACTTCATTCCATTTAGTCCCTGAAAATTTTTTCTTCACAACTTGGTCCTTGAAGTTACAAAAAAGTACCAATTAACTCGAATCGTTAGCGGAGCTAAATTTTAGACAGTATATATGTAATTTGTAGCGCCAGTGGCCCACCCTAAACTTCTCATAGTTAGGCACTTTTGTTCCAGAACAATTATATTTTATCAATTTTAGTCCTTAATATTAGTCCCGGAATTTGTTAATTTTTGGCTCCATTTAATAATTGGAGCTGCTTGCTGGCTTGGCTATACTTCCAAAACCAAGGATCAACAATCCATATTTTGTATGAACTTCCATATTATAACAAAACCATGGATGCGTGGAAGCTTCTGTTAGTAGCCTTGTTACTTATACAATGTCAAACATGACACATGCTTATCAAAGATTTTGTATAAGAAAGAGCTGCCTCAGAAGCATTCTTGGTTAACATCTCCTAGTTGGGCTCTCACCATATCAATCTTTCAACAGATCGTCGACAAGAATGTCGTTGTTCGGGATTTCAAAGGAAAAGAAATTGAATCACAAATCATTCCTCTGCCCGATGTTTCTGTGAGCATAAGAAACTACCATGCAAGGGCATACTTGGGAAGTTCTCCAAAAGTGACCCCTAAATATTGGCTTGCATTTTCTGCCACTGTGCCGCCTCTTGGTTTCAGCACTTACATTGTCTCAAATGCCAAAAGGGCAGGTATTAGTCCCATAATATCTTTGTCTTCATAATACTTGTTCAACATAGAGTAGTTGGCTCAGACTTTTTCATTCCGTGTTTGCAGCTGGTGTTTCTGAGAAACAAACCGTGTATGAATCACAAAAAAGTCAAAATCATACGATAGAAGTGGGGCCAGGAAACTTGAAGCTTGTTTATTCGGGGAAAGATGGAAAACTTTCAAGATACATCAACACAAAGAGTTTGGTATGCTAGAATTAACCTTAATACTTGGCTTTACTTTGGTTCTAAAACTATTTCTCTCTTTATGTTCTTAGCCATCATGTGTATGGTGTTGATAATGTATATTTTCTTCTCTTGAAAATATATATTTATCACTACTTATTATGCAATCATCACATATATGTTATCAGAATATTAAAATTCTCACAGCAGAATGGGATTCAATTCTTTTACTTTTTGTCATGTGATAGTTTTCTTTATTTAACAAACGTGTAGTGATACATCACCAGTGTTGTTGAATACGAATGTTCATTTCCTTATGCTTTGACTTTACGATCTAAGGTCGAAGAGTCAGTAGAGCAATCGTTTGGCTATTACTCCGGAGACGATGGAACTCGTGTCGATTTACAGGTAATTATACTACAGGGAGATCCCCCATACTTTTTATTTCATGCACCCACCAGCCATCACCATTCACCATTTTGTGGTTCATACATTTTTGGAATGTGATGATAACATGTGTTAAAAGATTGAGAAAACAATTTTTTGATTTTTTTGAAGGCGTCTGGAGCATACATCTTCCGTCCTAATGTCTCTTATCCCATCAAAACTGAAGGGCAGGTAAAAGTATGCCTTGAAGTAGTTTAGTTGAACTGCTTAAACTTTCATAATTGAAAATCAACAGTGTATTCTTTTCAAAACTTCAGGTTCCTCTTACCGTTTTCCGGGGACCGCTGTTGGATGAAGTACATCAGAGAACAAATTCATGGATATATCAGGTGCTTATCTTTCATCTTATCAGAACTCTTTTGTCTGCTACAACATCAAGCAATACGATTAAGGGAGAGAGTTTATGCGTGTCAGTTAGGTTAGTTAGATTGGTGATGTCACGGAACGAGAATGCCAGATTATCGTTTTTCCGAGAATGCTTAAGTTGTTAGGCGGTCAGCAACCCAAAGCTAGAAAGCTGAAGTTGCAAACATTTGAAGTTAAGACCACACCTTCTGTAATCCAATTTTAGCATACCAATGCTCTTAGATTTTACTTACTAAAAGGAGAGCAAATATTAGTTTGTATATTTTAACAACCTAGATGAAGTAGGCCTTCAAAATTGCTATTTCAGAATATAAGGTAACATTTTGCATAGAACCCTCCCTCAGAATGAGAATACAAAAAACAAGCCACTCTGTCTCAACCACTTGACATCTCTGATTCAAATCTGCCATATTTCCCACCACCGACCAGTTAGTTGGGTGGTAAGGCTACTCGTTTTCCTCGGCACGGCCTTGGATTTGAGTCAGTGTTTGGTATGAGTAATCCACTTCATGAGTGATCCATATGCCATGTGGGACATACCTTGCCTCCACAAGATTATCCGAGTAGGCCATCCTCTACCCCTATAACTTTTTTTTTTTTTTTTTTTTGTTCAAATGGAAAATAAAGTACTTTCCACATTCCTTTCCAAGGGTTGGATAAAATGGTACTTCAACAAGTAAAATCAACTTGAATATATGATATACACATAATCATCTTGTGTAGCAAAGCTTCTTCAAATCTCTTGAGTTAACAATAAAAATTAGTAAGAACCCAATATCCAGTCTTTTCTTAGCATGGAGATTTTGTTACTAATGTTTAACATAGTAAAATTATTGCACTACTTGAGCAGGTCACTAGAGTGTACAAGGAGAAAGAGCATGCTGAATTTGAGTTCACTGTAAGATTATTGTGTGACCATTGTACTTTCAGCTCATTTGAGTATCCCACAATTTTGCTATATTGCTCATCTTTCAAGGAAAACATTTTCATTTTCAGATTGGTCCTATTCCAATTGATGATAAAATTGGAAAAGAGGTTGTAACTAAAATTACAAGCACTCTGAAAAACAGCAAACAATTCTTCACGGATTCTAATGGCCGTGATTTTATTGAAAGGGTAACGTTGTCATCAACTCTTATATAAAAGATGATATTTTCCATTTTTATTTTTTATTTGTATATTTTTTTCAAGTTGCTTCAAAGATGTGAATCTCAAATTCTTTTATAATTCTCCTTTTTTGATTTTTTGTTTTCCTTTTTTCAGATTGGAGATTATAGAAAAGACTGGAAGCTTGAAGTGAATCAACCTGTGGCAGGAAACTATTACCCAGTATGTTTATTTGATAACTACAATCATATCGGCTTTTCTTGTCACTGATTATCTTTGTTTATTTTGTGACTGTCTAATCATATCAATTTCTGGTTTAAGAAACATTACAAGTCAAAGTTAGATATAATATGTGGAATTCTAATTTGAATTTCTATTCGAACCTATGAATCAAAACGGGCAATTTGTTAAAACACACATAAGAAAGAGCATTTTATTGTTCGTTCAGATTAATCTTGGAATATATCTGAAGGACAAGAGCAATGAGCTGTCACTGCTGGTAGATAGAGCTGTTGGGGGATCCAGCATTGTGGATGGCCAATTGGAACTCATGCTTCACAGGTATAACCACTTTACCACATACAAAAAGGTCTTATATATTCTTGAGTCTAGACTGAGATTGTCTTTTTTTTGCCTATGGTACGGTACCCAAAAAAGAAAATCTTTTGGTGCTTTGCTATTTTACACTGAAAAGACTACCAATACTGCGTTATTTTGCACCGTCAAATTCTCTTTAATTTCCACTAGATTTGCATATTTTTAAGTTCTACTATGATTATGATGTCATCTGACAAGGCAACGTGGTTCAGGTAAAGTACTTTTCGACGTCCTACCATAGAACTCTCCTATGTTTTAGCCGACTTTTTTTTTTTTTTTTTGTACAAGACGGGATTGAACCCACAACCTCCCCCTAAACTTTAGCCAACTTTTAGCAGTGAATATATCTTATCATCTCCAACCATGGCCACCTTCAAAGGTTTAACTAGGCTTTGGTTTTTCTTATTCCCTCTTTCTTTTGTGTTTTTCTTTTTCAAACCCACATTATGGTTTGTATATGACAATATTTTCCAATTATGGTGTACACTCAATATTTTTTAGGAGGTTGCTCCATGACGATGGCCGGGGAGTTGCAGAGGCACTAAACGAGACGGTTTGCATTGGTGATAAATGCCAAGGGCTAACTGTAAGATCATAGCAAAATCAATCATTTTGTTCCTAGTTTTTAACATAGAGCCTAATTTCCATACATGTTTTGCTTGTGTTCATACTTGCAGATTGTAGGAAAGTACTACCTCAGAATTGACCCTCTAGGAGAAGGTGCTAAATGGCGTCGATCTTTCGGTCAAGAAATATATTCTCCCTTTCTTTTAGCCTTCGCAGAACAGGTGAATTTAAAACAATGACACATTATATATATATATATATATATATATATATATTAACAGGAAAGGTCTGTAACAAGAGGATGAGTGACTATAATTTTGCAGGATGGACAATACTCTCATGTTCCAACCTTTTATGGCATGAACCCCTCCTATGCATTGCCTGATAATGTTGCAATTCTAACCCTCCAGGTCTCGACATATCTCATATGTTACTCTTATTATTATTTTTTTATTGCTTTTGTTAAAAAAATTTCCTTTTTTTTTTAATATACTGGTTGAAACATTTCTATGTTTCTGAACTCTGCAGGAGCTGCAAGGCGGAGAAGTCCTCCTTCGCTTGGCACATTTATACGAGGTTTGATTTCTTTTTTTTTTTTTTCCCGTCTAGCCTCCACTAATGTTGGTTGTTATCTTAAAATCTTTCATCTCAAAGATTAAATCTTCTTACCCAAAGAGAATATAAGAATTGAAGTTTACATATATTTTGCTTCCATTATTCGCGCACCTCAAACAACTATAAAAGTTTCTTGCAATTACTTGAATATGCTATGTGACAATGTGTTCTGAAACTAAATTTTGCCTTCGAATGGAAGATCGGAGAGGATAGAGATATTTCAGTTATGGCAAGTGTAGAGTTGAAGAAAGTGTTCTCCAATAAGAAGGTAGAGGTCAAGTTGATTCATGAAACAGAATGGTCTCCTCTCACATAATCTTCTGTATTGACATATTTTTCCTTCACATGAAATTCAGATAAAGAGAATAGCAGAGATGAGTTTATCTGCTAACCAAGAAAGAGTGGAAATGGAGAAGAAGAGACTAGTGTGGAAAGTAGAAGGGTCTTCTGAAGAACCAAAGGTGGTGAGAGGAGGACCAGTTGATCCAACAAAGTTTGTAGTGGAACTTGCTCCAATGGAAATCAGAACCTTCATAATCAACTTCTATTCCAGATGATCAACTACTAAAATAGGGTAATTCACTGCAAGTGAATTGGTGTTGGAGAAAAATCTTATTTTTTTTGTTGCTTATCGAACAATTTGAGAATAATTCACTGGTTTCTAAGTGTACATTATCGAACAATTGGAGAATAATTCACTGGTTTCTAAGTGTACATTATCGAACAATTCGAGAATAATTCACTGGTTTCTAAGTGTACATAGTCTCCTGAGACTAAAAGATTAGTCAATGAAGAATGTGTGCTTTCTGTTCTGTTTAGAAGCAAGAAGTACTGCTATATTAGAAAATAAATAAATAAATATGAATAGTGAACTCCAGAAAAATTGCAGTGGTGGTAGTTTATTTTATTTTCTGATCCAAAAACTTGAAAAACTTTCAATGCTATAGTGATGCATTAAGGTTTCTGTACATGTCACCTTCTGCTTTTCGTGCCAGTTCTTCTAATATAAAAGAAACATGTTTGTGTAAATATTAGATAAACAGATATAACCAAAGCCCTACTTCTTGATCGTAAATCATAGTACACCTGAACTAATGTCCTCCTCTGGTAGGCAAAGCATTTGGTTCCAAGTGCCAAGCGCTTTCTGGGATGCCATGCTTCCCAATACCTGGCACTCTGAAAGCCGGGATTCGGTGAGAGAAACTAAGTGTCTCCGCCTTGGAAACTACACTGGTCAGATCAAAACCATCACATTGCTTCCCCTGGAAGAAAGTCAAATAGTCCTTCACCTGCTCAAGTCTAGCTATTCTTATCATCCCACCATCTCCTTCTGTCAAGTCTGATAGAACTTGGACAACCTGGCCCCGGCAAGAGTCGTGATCATGCCGCTTCCACTTGCCATTCCAGTCCTTGTACACAGCCCAAATCTCGCCTTTCAATGGCCATATTTCGTAATATTCCCCCCTGCGTTGGTGCTGGACTAAATAGGAAAACCACGAGATACCAATTTTCACACTGGTCTCACCAGCTTTAAAGATCCCGCACGTCAGGTTCCACTCAATATCAGTGTCAACCATCAGTAGGGGTTCCAAGAGTGTCACACGCACTTGGCTCTCTGAAATCACATCATCTATTCGTGTGTACTGCCGAGGCATAAAGTCCTTTCCACAACACACAGCCCATATCTGGCCTCCGCAAAAGTCATTTGCAGACCATCGGGGATCAAAGGAAGAGAGATCTATAGGACGACTAGTGGTGCAAGAAAACTTGCTCACATTCTCAGTTTCCAATGTTTTTTCGGTGTTAATGCCACTGATCATGTAATCTGGCAAGGCTAATTGGTCTAGCTCAAACATCCCTTCAACAACTCCATCAATCTCTCCACCCACAAATCTGTATGCAGGGACTTTGTGTGAAAACATGTAGAACATTCCCGGGCTTATTTGAATCGTGACCGGAGTATTAGCACTCCCTCCAATCCTTTTTCTCTCAAAGACGCACTTGAAACCCTCCACCTTTGCCAAATATGCGCATTCTGCACCAGTGTACTTTGAAAAATCCGACATGATCTCCACCAACTCAAACTCACAATCTTCCAGGGTTTCCAAGCTATAATAGGCCCATTCATCGATATTCCAATTGTTGTAGATTGCCCAAATCTCGCCTTTTCTCGGGTATATCTCAAATTGATCCTCCACAACCCCGTGTACCCAAGAGCACTTGTGTGACAAAATCGTTGACAAGATCACCTCAGAAGTCATCCCCATCACCAAACCAAATGACCCACATGAAACAGGCAAGCCTGCATCACACCATCTCCTCTCACTAGCAGAAATGGGGATTGGTTTCAGCCATGTCACCCAAACCGCTTCTTCTTCTGAGGTGAGATACACTAGCATGTACCGATAATTATGCCGCGAACTTCCTTTAAAATTAGCAGCCCAAATCTGGCCTGCCTCAATTTTTTCAGCCCTCCTATCACTCTCAAAATTATAATAGTCCCGGGATGGAAAGTTGTCCACAGAATTTGTATGCAACAGAGGCTCTGAAATCTCCAGTTTCTTGTTCTCATCACCAGAAATTAAATCCAAAGATACCATTCTATAACCTAATTCCCTACTAGTAGTACTTCTCTCCAAGTCGAATTTCCCACGACTCTCGCTTTGGGAAAGAACCGCAAATGCTTTTTCCACAAGCTCCACAGCCAATTCAGCACCAGGGAATTTCTTTCTCCTCAAAGCCTGCAGTGCCTCAAGGATGTTTTTGTAACGATTTTCAACATCAGAAAACGTTGATGAAGGTGGGACCTGAAGGACCCAATAGTGATCAACATCACAACCACCACTAAGCCTAAACCTGGCTGCAGAGAGAACTTCACAGAGTTTCAAAAGTGACCCAATTTGGTCCATTCCAGGATAAATTTGCTGCAGTTTAATCAGTTTGTCCCTTGCACTTACATAATCATTTTCAACAATCATCTCTTCAGCTTCTTGAAGTGCTTCTACTAGATTAATACTATTACTATCCATGTTTTTTTTTTTTCAAAAACCCCAGAAGAAATAGTAACAATTTTTCACCAAAAATCAAACTTTTAAACAATGGAAATCAGCACTTGCACAGTTTGTCTAGTCTAAACCCTGTTTTATATCAAGTAAAAATAAATATATATTATTTTCTTTTTGACAAACCCAACAAATTCACATTATCAATATTATACATTTTATCCAATACAATGCAAAATCTGTAAACATCTCATCACTGAAAAATAGAGAAGAGAAACGACTTCTAACGAGTTGGCCGTTGGGTCTTTCAAGAGTTTGATACTGCCAGAAATCACGAACGATTATGACACTTGAAGCAAGGAAAATAACAAGCAAAATCAGTTCAGAATTTTGGGTTTTTTTTTTTTTTCCTTTTCTTTCCTGGAAATTAAAAAGAAAAACACGGATTGTACAAGTTACAAAATGCGTGGAGTTTCACTGGTTCTAGTGTTGAGGTGGTTGTTTGTCAGTTTTATGGTAGGTATACCGTATATATACTCTACTGTAGTGTAAGTTTCTAACCATAAATTAGGTCAAGTCAAATAAAAATTAGAAAAAAAAAAGATTATTAACACTCATGCCTAGTGCTGAAACTTTGGACGGATCGCCCGTGATCACCGAAAAGTCTGAATTTTTATCCGATGACCGAACCCGATCTGTCCAAAAATTCGGGTTGCCCGACCCGACCCGAAAATTCCCATGGACGGGCTCCGGGCAGAGGAAGCCTGCCCGTGCCCGGTCGGGTTGCCTGATGCCCGAATTTTTTTTTTATATTATATTTTTATGTTGTTAAGATAAGTATTTGTATAATTACAATGTGTAATTGTGTATATTACAATTTGAAATATGAAATGAACACACGACACGAACGAACTATATAAAAAAAATTACTTCTTCATTGATTTTTAAATTTGTAATTCATGATTGCCTCATTAAAAACCTTACCAAGAAAAACCCAATTGGGATAAAAACTTAGTAAGGAAAAAAGAGTGCAATCATTGTGGGACGAATTACAAATTTGATGAACTTACAAAGTCTATACAAGATTACAAATTACAATAAACACTATACAAATTAGAAATTATAAAGTAAATAAATATTTACAAAGAAATTATCAAGATGAAGCAGAAGGATCATCTTGAAAATTAAAAGTTAATCTATTAAATTCGTCGATCCATTCTTGGTTTGCCGGTGAGATTGTATCGTGTAAGCGTTGGTCGGAACGGTCCCAATCCTTGATGCACACCAAAGCTTCAACAATATCCTGCTGCAATACGTTTCTCCGTTTTTCAAGTATTCGGCCGGTTGTACTGAATGCTTGTTCGGCTGCAACGGTAGAGACCGGGATTGAAAAAATATCCATTGCCAGTCGTGTTAGGATCGGCCAAATTAATGCTCATGCCCTCCACCACTCAACTAAATCAAACACCTCACTACTGTCTACAACTAAGCCCTCACTCAGGTACGCCATTAACTCGTTGAATCCGCCGCCACCTCTTGATGAAGATCCACTTCCACTCTCAGATTCTTCTTGACCTTGACTCGTCATCGTCGTCTTCTTCTTCTTCTTCTTAGACAACCTGAAAACATTCAAGAATGAATGCGGATTGTCGTCTCATTGTTGCGGTTGTTCAACACGAGGTGTGTTTCTAAACCTACTTTCGTAAGAGATATATAGAGAATATATTTTTTCCTTTATAATAGGAAACTGGTCAGTAGTGTCTATAGCTAAAAATTCACCTAAGTTATCTAATCCACTTTCTAAACCTTCTAATTTTAATATAGGGTAAAAAATAACACCGAAACCATACAACATGGGTAATTTAGACCAATATTTTTTAAATTTCTTTTCCATAGAGGCAATAGGAACTCCTAAAACCTC